TATAACATTTTAAGGATAATTTCGTCTTTTTAGGCTTGGATGGCTATTGTGGTGAGAATAAAGCTATGGGTACAGAAATTTTCCACAGAAAAGTTACAGGATTTTAAAATGGCATGACGTGGCAAAGTTAAAAAAAAAAATTGTTCAAGACTTCCAACAAAATTGAAACCGGGAAAGCCAAAACCTTTCACACCATTTTTCCCCAAATTTCCCCTCGATTCCCCCCACTCAAAACCCATCCATCTCCGGCCAAAATCCGGTGAACCGAACGGCGGGCAACTCCAAAATCTGGTGAAGAGGAAAGCCGAACACATTGTTCCCGACAATAGAGCCATTTATATCAACCATTTCTGTGGAACATTTCTGACCCTAAATGGCAGACAAAGGTATTTTCTTTCTTGGGTTCTAAATTGGTTAGCTAATTCCGGAATCCAATGTTAGGTTTTCAACTGAAAGTTTCTTCAAACATTGCTATTGTGTTCGGCCAGCTGAAGCATTTAGACTAAGTTGTAGGGGAATGACTGGTAATTTATTGTTGGGGACATTAATGTTGAAGCAATATAAGGATTTTTTTTGTTGGAATTAACGATTAAGGTTATGAATCAACTCTAATGCATCATAATCAGTTGTGAGCCACAAAAAAGTGCATCTTTTTTCCTCACTATAACCATAAATATGACCCTATGATTGTTATTTTTTTACTTCAGTTTTTGTGATTTTAACAATGCTGACTATGTTACCATATGTGCTGTCCCAACAAAGATTGTTTGCCTGAAATTATTAGTAATCCGTGACTTATACATTTTGGAAATGTGTTTCCAGATATTTAACAAAGAACATGAAAAGGCTGAAGATGCAAAGCCTTTTGCGATAAAAGCCTTTATTAGTTATTTCCGATAGGATTGTAGACTCACCATGCTGCTTGGGTATTGGAGAATATGGTTGGACTGCAAACATGGAGAGGATCTTGAAGGCTCAAGCATTAAGGGATAATAGCATGGGCTCTTACATGTCTAGCAAGAAGACAATGGAAATTAACCGAAAATTGAATTATGGAGGAATTGAGGAAGAGAGTGGAGGCTGACAAGAATGACAAGTCGGTGAAGGATCTTGTGTTGCTACTGTTTGAGACTGCCCTCTTGACTTCTAGGTTCAGTCTGGACGACGTAACACATTTGCATCAAGAATTTACAGAATGTTGAAGCTGGGATTGAGCATTGACGAGGGCGATGAAGCTGGTGAGGACGCTGAAATGCCTGCACTTGAGGAAGATGGCAATGAAGAGAGCAAGATGGAGGAGATGGATTAAAATGTGAAATTATATTATATCCTGTGTTTTTGCCTTGTTAGTGTGTCTGCAAAGAGTCGGTAAGGGAACAATCCATTTACGCAAGTGTTCGTCTGAAAGGTTGCTAGGCTGATGTATTTGTACCTCATACAAAATTAATAATATATGTGGTTTTTCAAGTAATTTCCGTCTTGGTTATATCCTTTTTTTCTTTTAGTGTTGTTCTATGCTCTGCAATTCTACTAATTATATCAAATTGCATACTTATAGATTGTGATGAACTTTAACCATCTAGACATTTTTACTATCTCAATGCAGCCAATATAGTACCGAAGAAAAGTAGCAATTAAGCTAAAAAGGATTTCAGAAGTAAAATAAAGATTCTTGTTCTAAATAACTCAAAACAAGCCTGCCATAAGTACTCATCCATTGAAATCTTAAACATGAACAAATTTGTAATATACATGTTGGCACAATATGATATTTTTGAGCAAATCTACCGTATCAATTCCTATGTACAAATTGGCAAATACAATGAAGAATTGGTATCCAAAGGCAGCATTAACTTGAGGGTGGTGCACCAAAGCCACCAGCTCCACGTCCAAAGTCAGGTCTTCCACCAGGACCCTACAAATTCAGAATTCAAACCAGCATGCCAGGTTGTGCGTGAGAATAGCTTCTCCAATTATTTTTGTATTACACAAGAATCACCACAAGTAACATCTTGAACTGGCTTGTTTTACACATAACCGTGCTTTAGAAGAAATTAAAACACAAGGAGAAGAGCCAGTCAAACAAATAAGAGAAGCAGTAATAGAAATGGTGAATTGTCTTCTATTCTTCCCGCTCCTCTTTCCCTGCCCCCTTCTCCACTCATTTCCACAGAAATGGTTGATATAAATGGCTCTATTGTCGGGAACAATGTGTTCGGCTTTCCTCTTCACCGGATTTTGGAGTTGCCCGCCGTTCGGTTCACCGAATTTTGGCCGGAGATGGATGGGTTTTGAGTGGGGGGAATCAAGGGGAACTTTGGGGAAAATGGTGTCAAGGGTTTTGCCTTTCCCGGTTTCAATTTTGTTGGAAGTCTTTTTCAATTTTTTTTTTTAAACTTAGCCACGTCATGCCATTTTAAAATCCTGTAACTTTTCTGTGGAAAATTTCTGTACCCATAGCTTTATCCTTGTGGTGAATGTCAACATTTTTTGAGTAATATGAAAAAGTGGTTGTTTGACAAGGGCAATCTTACAAGTACCCCGGTTCTTGCACCACGANTTTCTGAACCCATCGCTTTATCCTTGTGGTGAATGGCAACATTTTTTGAGTAATATGAAAAAGTGGTTGTATGACAAGGGCAATCTTACAAGAACCCCGGTTCTTGCACCACGATGCGTTCACACTTGACACTGCCAAGAAATTTCTTCCTGCAGCCTTTGCTTTTTACTTGGCAATTTTCACTAATACGAATCTTTTGCGCCATGCCAATGTGGATACATTCATAGTGTTCAGATCCCTTACGCCCCTTCTGGTTGCAGTAGCTGATACTGCGTTCAGGAAGCAGCCGTGCCCTTCGAAATTGACATTCTTGTCCTTGGTGATCATTTTGAGTGGTACGGTTGGGTATGTTGCGACAGACCCTGACTTTACTCTGACTGCATACTCATGGGCTTTTGTGTACTTGGTAACGATCGCAACTGAGATGGTTTACATCAAACATATGGTGACCAATCTTGGGTTGAACACTTGGGGATTTGTGTACTACAACAATCTTTTGTCATTGATGATTGCTCCTATCTTTTGGATTATAACAGGGGAGTATGTGGATGTGTTCGCAGCTGTGGGATATTCAAGTGGAAGGAATTTATTCGAGCCAGTTGCATTTTCTGCGGTGTCCTTGTCTTGTTTGTTTGGGTTGCTCATTAGTTTCTTTGGTTTTGCTTGTAGGAAGGCCATTTCTGCAACTGCATTTACAGTGACTGGAGTAGTGAATAAGTTTTTGACTGTTGCAATCAATGTGTTGATTTGGGATAAGCATGCTAGTGTTTGTTTGCTATTAACTGTTGCTGGAGGGGTTCTCTATCAACGGTCAGTTACTGGAGCTGGCAATGCTTCAAACCAGCGAGAGTCTGCAGCATTGAAGCAGACGAAAACTAAGAATGAAGATGATAATGGTTATGCCATCAAGGATGAAGGAAAAGGCATTTCTGGTAAATTTTCTGGTGTATGAACATCTTTTCTTGCTTTGGCTGCTGATGGAGAGGCTCCATATATAAATTGTTGCGCACATGGCTAGTGATACTCCCATGTAATTTCTTTGAATTTAGATGAGGATTAAATAGTTTATTAGTTTAGCATTTTTGCGTTTGATGAACAATATGGAGGTATGATCATATTTCCCTTAGTTATTCCATTCCTGGCTATGGATATATACCATAGGCTTTAACCAATAATATTCTTAACTTGTTTTCCAAATGGATAGATTCTTTAGAGCGGTCGATATTAATTTATTTTGCATGCAACGGCCCTTCTCAGGGGAGTTTAGTCATGGCTCAATGGTATATTGATTTAGTTTAATTCTGATTTGTTTGACTCTTTTGGTGTCTCTCTTTTTTGAAATTCTAGACGTCTTTTGTTGTTGCATACTGCGATCTCTATTTTAAAAGGACCTCCGTTGGTAATGTTATATGTTTCTTCCATCCATTTCCTTTCTTTCTTAGGCTTTACTATAAGTTCCGAGAAGACTTGTATGAGTTGAATAAATGTGATTAAGCAAATTTTTGGGATTATCGTAGCCATTATTGAAAACACGATGCTCAAATAGGTAATGACTTTTGTGCTTGAAATAATGATGTAGCTCAACCTTTGATGATAGAGCCCCCTTGCTATCACGCTATTGAAAGGGCCTTGGAAGGTTAAGGATGTATGTTTCTTTCATCGAGTTCGTTTTCTTTGAGCTTTTTCTTAGTTTTATAAAAGCTGGCTATGTACAAATATTTGATATAGAGACTATCAGCCATTATCTGTTCTACACTTCTCGACGTTTTGAGCTAAAAGACGTCGTCTTCTTCATTGGTTTACCAATTCGAAGCTCCTCGGCTACTTTTATGCTGTCGATATTAAATGGCATCGATGAACTCGTGATTTATCCATTACTGTACGCTTATAGGATAATGTAAAGTTTCAGGAAGGAACTGTTTGCCATTTTTGTAATTTTGTTAAGCTATTAAATCCTTAATTTTAGCGAAATTGGGATTTTGTTTGGTTTGATACAAGGTTACAATCAGATTACCAAAATCCATTTCCAATTCCAAGGTGCTGAGTTCAGTTTAATCAAGTATTAGTGTACCCTTTCTTATCAAGTTCTTGAATTTGGACAATGAATACTTATTCGTGATCCAAACATGAACAAGTTTAGTTATTCACTTGTTGTGATATGAAATTTGTTGTATATTTTTGTACTTTAGGGACATGTTTGATGTGCAATATCATATAACAGCATTAAGAGAAAAAGGAATGAGGCCAGAAATTATAGTACTTTTACTTATTTTAAAAGATTTTTTGAAAAAGGAAGATATTTTAGAAATTAATTTTCAAATATCAATTGTAACTTCCTCATAAATTTTTTTTACAATAAGCAAAAATAGAAGTCTCCTCAAATAGGCTTGTTGAGTATATCGTATACATGGAGAACGGAGACGCACAAATCCAACAATTTCAAGAACTTCAAGTGACAATTAAGCCATTGTATGGTAAAAAAAAAAAATAAATTTGTTAATTACGTTAAATTAATTGTCATTTTTTTGGATTCTGTCACTTTTTTTATTATTTGTTATTTTTTATAGTTTTTTAGCATTAAAAAAGTGACATACATCACTTTTAATTAAAAACAATGTCATTTTTTTTTAATAAAAATGGCATTTTGACACTTTTTGATGTACAAAGTGACGCTTAATTTTACATTGCATCTTCTACTTTTTAACACATTTTTCACGTGATTTTTCAAAAGATGTCTGACTTATTATAAGTTGCCCATAAGATTGACGCCCGAGAGCCCAGGATAACTGGAGAGAGTCCAGTCGAATCCCGTTATTGCAATTCGGGTTTTCCCTCATCTTCAAATTCAAATTCGAGTCACATTTCCGTAAATATTTCTTGATCCATGCCCCATTTCCTAACTCAACGCACCACAAAACCCCCTATATAAAACCTCCTTTCAACCTGACGCCCTTCACTCCACCCTCCATTCAAATTGAACTCACTAACAAAACCCTCCTCCGCCATTCATTCTTCCCCAAATTCACAGTTTTACATTCTCGTTTTTCTACCCATATACACAGATTCAAGATGTCTCTGAGACCCAACGCCAAGGTGGAGGTCCGCCGCAACAGGTACAAGGTGGCGGTTGACGCGGATGAGGGACGGCGGAGGAGGGAGGACAACATGGTGGAGATACGCAAGAATCGGAGAGAGGAAAGCCTACAGAAGAAGCGTCGTGAAGGACTCCAAGGAGACCAGCAGTTCCCTATTCCTGTCGAAGCCACCACTGGCATCGATAAAAAGGTATATCGGTTCAAAACCACTTTTTAATT